GGTAACCTCAATCTGGAAAAAGTGGCCTTAATAGTTTAATGGGACGAGTGGTAATTTATGTTAATTTCACTTTACGTATTTCGTCATATCATGGGAACTTTTTTATGAAAGTCAAGACATTTTTGCACGCGTTTTAAAATTCGTTTTTCCAAAGATTTTAAATAAAAGTTATAACTATTTATTATTTTTTATCATTTAATTTAGTAATGGCCGAAAAATCTGACTACAACTATGAACTCTATATAATTTTTTCTTAATAATACTATAACTACATTCTTAATGGCATAATTCTTAATAACATATTCTTCTAAATAACAAAATATTCTGCATAATTTTAAATGACAAAATACACAATTTGAATGAAGTTAGGCAAATGGCTTTCAAATTATAAAATTTCAAAAAAGTCACATTTTTAAATTTTTTTATCCTCCAAGGACAATTTGCTCAATTTCGTTCAAATTTTGTATTTTAAAATTATATAGTTTAAAATGATGTAAAAATGTGTATCCTTAAAATTCAAAATTTTCTTCATAATTATTAAATGAAATAACAAAATATAACAAAATACATCGTCAATCAAAATATTAACAATTTTTCAAAAGGAAGAATGTTCTAATTTCAGCAGAAGCTTTGAGCTGGTGAAATATACAAGTTTTAATAATTTCCTGGCTGCTTAAAGCAAAAATGTGTGTGTATACATGGTTTCAACGTCTGTAGGCATCATTTAACTTATGTTTAAAAATTTTAGTTTTTGTACACGATCTGAACCGTTACAATAATGTCAATACATAAGGTAAAATCCCTCTAAAAATTAAATATAAACATGTTATAGATCTATTTACAGAACAAATCACCATAGCAACCACTCTAAACTGAACTAGTTGCCGAATGTCATCCAGCGACATTATTTTTAAACTATTTCCGGTAGCTGAAATGAAAGGTTGTCTATGTCTTTCAGAACAGTTAATGTTCCATTTCATTTTAAGTATAATCTTTTGTTCATTTTTATGTTATGAGTATTTCTTTTTTACTGTTACATGAGTTCTAGTTAACGTGTTTTCAATAAACTAAATAAGAGCTTGTCGGAAATTTAGTTTCTGAGACGAACGGTTACAAGCGTAAGATTTTTAAGAAATTTAGTGGCGAAATATATTGGTCATTCTCTGAAAAACAGGAATTTCTCTACTGATTTGTTTTTTAAATTTGAGGCAGCCACTATATATAAGCTTAACACGGCACCATACGACAGCCACTAATATATATATATATATATAGATAGATAGATATATCTATCTATATCTATCTATATCTATCTATCTATCTATATCTATCTATATCTATCTATCTATATCTATCTATCTATATCTATCTATCTATCTATATCTATCTATCTATATCTATCTATATCTATATCTATCTATCTATTCTATATCTATCTATCTATATCTATATATATACACTAGTGGGCTGCGCCCCCTGCTCGCTAACGCCGGCCAACCACCGAAAATTGCTACGCAATCTCATATGGTTTGCTTCGCTCGCTACTAACTTAGGTACATTGCAAATGCACAATATTCTAAGTATTCAAAACAATCATTCAAATCCGTATAACAACTTTTTTTTTAAAAAAAAAATTACATCTTTTTAGTAAATACTTTGAATTCAAATAAATGACATGTAATTCGTTAAACCTATTAGAAATGTGCTATGGTATAAAATCTTAAAGCGTAACAGTAAGACTGAGACTCATTTTTCAATGAATAACTAATAACAATAATAAAACAAATAAATTCGTGATATAAATCAGAAATCGTCATACATAAATTCGTGAGAAAAAGCGCTTTCGACAAAATACTAAGATAGAGATTTATCGACTAAGACTACTCACTTCTGCCTAGCTTAATAGTATGAGATTGCCGGAGCTAATAGGGTGAATTTCGGAAGAGATCACCTTTGGTGAGAATGCTCTCTCTGTTTATTTCAGTTCCCTTTTATAAAAGCGCTATATATTGAGCCACCTCATCTAGATTTGGCATGTGATATTTTTAGCGGCAATCATTGGTCGATTTTCTAGCCTTGCCATTCGGGGAGTTGTAATGAGGCTTTTTTTGTCGCCGTGTAAGATATACACATACACATACACATATACATACTCATATACATACACATATACATATATATAAGCTTCCTATGCCACTCTTTTCTATGGAAGTTAAAGCATCCGACTACGACCCCCAAAGACCCTTAATTTGGATCCTGCCGGCAATCAACAAACATCTCTCGCACACTGTCCTCCATATATGTCACTACAGACGCTCGAATGCGCGACGCAACTATCTCCTTCCTTAACAGATGGCAGCACACTACTACATCATCTTCTTCCATGGTGCCATCTTGATTCGACAAACAAATCTTCTGAGTCCAAAACTTTAGCGCTGATTTTCGAAGCTCTGCCGCCAAGGAAAATAAAAAAGCCATAGCTTAAGTGCCTTACACTTGAAGCAATGCGATGATTTTAAACTATATATATAATCTTGCCTTGAAGAATTATCAGGTCTTTAGAACAGACAAATAACTTAAATATTTTAGAAGTTATAGAAATTTTTTTAAAAATCGCCAATTTGACATTTCTCCACCTAAATAAAAATTATCAAAATCACCGTCGCATTCTCAATTTTTGCAAATTTTTACGAGCCTAAGTAATTTTCATTTTCAGCACTTTCAATTAACACTTTTCTCCATATTGACGTTTTGCGCCATTTTTAACTAAGCAATAACAGCTCTGATTTTAGGTAGGCAAAACTTAAAATAACAGTCATGAGTAACAGTTGTAAATGCACAGCAATTATAAAAATAGCATATTATTCGCAAAAAAGCAATTCATATTACGACGGAGCCTTTAAAAAGGCCCCAACTGCACTGGAATGGTGATTTCACTTACGGCCTCTCGACTGACAACGAGTCAGACTTCTCGTTCACTGGAGGGGAGTGTGTGGCGACCATTATACATTAAAAAAACTTTCTGACTCCCCCTGGACTGGTGTGTACACCCTTTTCTCTGATGGTTAGAGCATTCGACTACAACCCCAGAGGCCTTTGATTCAATCAACATCTCTCCTCCACAAATTTTTGAATTACGTTTATATTTATTTTTAAAAGAGATCTGAACTTATTTAATGAAATTGTTATATATTTTCAGATCGTATGCATAAATCAGCATAGTTATTTTTAAAAAAAATAAACGATGTCCTCAGACGAAACCACCAAGTGTAATGTTCAAGTTGAAATTTGAGAAGCATAAATGACCGGTAAATAGTGGAAATTTCAATTGAAGGTTATTTAATTTGGTAATAAATTTCTTCATAATGGTCGCAAAACGTTTGAAACTACTCACTACAGACCTTTCCAGTTAAAATTTGAGTACTCTAGCCAGTCGGAAAGTGTCACACATGAGGATCGTGCTATAGATATGACGAAACCCCTAATTTTTACTTTTAAGATACCGATGCATTTCAGATTAATTTCTGAAGGAAAATAGTCAAACAAATTTTTCGTACTTACATTTATAATTATCTCGTCTAACTAATTATATGAATTTTATGAGCTCTATCCAAATAATGCATTAATCACTACATATAAAAAAAGTAAATTACAAAATCCTTAAAATATAATCCTTAAAAATAAATATATAAGTAATATACATAAGTAATCCTTAAAATATATAAATAATCCTGAAAAGTAAATATATCAAAATACAAAGTTTACTCTTATCATAGTAACTCTAAACAAAATATCCTCCACTTATGTTTCTGCCCACAAACGTGACCTCTTACTCAGGGAACAGGTATTTAATTCGAAATTAACAGTATATTGAAGTTAATAGGTTTATATTTTGATTCCATTATTTTCAATACATTCTCAATCAAATATGTTATTTGTTGAGATTATTTAATGTTTTTTAAATACTTATATTTTTGAATTTTTTACTAAGCTAAAAAACAGTGAAGAGTGGCTGTCAGCAAACTTGACTACACATGTAGCAATTTCGAACAAAAAATTCAATATTATTTTACTAAATTTACAATTTTAATGTATTCAATAAGCTTTGTTAAAGTTTATAAACTATTTATATGTTTTTTTGAAACTTAAATTTTTGTTGTTAAAATCATAGGAAATAAATGCATGCTTTTTCTGAGAATGAACCATACGCAAAGAAAAAGAGTTGCAGTATTAAAGGCAAAAATAAAGTAAAAAAATTATATACGAAAAATTAATACTATAAAAATTATCTGCAAGAAAATACTTTAAGGTTGCTTTGGAATGTGAAGAAAAATAATTTAAAATTAAAAAAATACCTCAAAATCTCAACCATTGTTCTTAAATTTTAAAAGAAAAACTGAAGAAGTAAAAAAAATCCAAAAGTTATCTAAAACCGGACTTTATTTTAAAACTAAATTTACAATTTTAATGCATTCAGTGTGTTTTATTAAAGTTTATGAACCATTTATATTGCTTTTTAAAATTTAAATTTTTGTCATAAATAAAAGAAAGAAATGCTTGTTTTTTCTGAAAATGAACCATATGTAAAGAAAAAATTACAATGTTAAAGGCAAAAGTAAAACAAATTTTTGCATAAAAAAAATTAAGAAATACAAAAAAAATTATCTACAAAAAATAATAATAATTAAAATCTCAAAAACTTTTCTTAAGAATTCTTAAAAACATGCATAAAATAAAAAATTGAAAAAGTAAAAAAATCCAAATATTATCTAAAAACCGGACTTTATTAATAAACTCTTCTACGATACAATATAATTCTAAAATCTACTATTCCCGTAAAGCGTAAGAATATGAAAAAAGAGTAAGCATAATTCTAAGTAAGCATAGATATATTTATTCCAGTTTAGGAGATCTTTAGAAGAGGAAGGGCTCTATAATGAGATATCCAAATATAGCTTCGATCAATATTTTCTAGTCAAGATTATCTGAAGTTTTCTTACCTGCCATCGGATCCAATTTCCTTTAGGCATCTTATCAGCGAAATGTTAACACCGTCGATATAGGAATAAAAAAAGAACAAATAATGGAATGAAATCGCAACCACCGTGATAATCTTTCAAGTTAAAACTGCGAAAACCGTAGCACTCGACCTGTTAATCAACAGTATCAGAAAAATATCTATTGTTAGAATTGCTCTATCGATCATATTTTTTATAAACTTCAGGGAAACGTAGCTATTTGCTTCGGAACATTAGAGTTTCATTCTATAGTTACAATGAAAGACCACGTTTTCAGAATACCGGAAAACAATCAGGAGGCAGGTGATTTTTACAAAGATGTGAAAAAGATTTTTGAAATAGGGGACAAAGCCCATTCAAAACAAACTTCCTCAATTCTTTTCTCTGAACATTCAGTTCATTTCTCACACAAAGAGTGAAACAATTGAATAGGTGTTCTTTTTTTTAAACTTTTTGTTGGTAATTTCTTACAACTTTTAGTTAAATTTATTTATTTATTTACTTACATAAGCGGGCTTGTGTGCTCAACACAAATTACAACTTATAAACCCTTGTCAAACAAACGAATAACAAATTAGGGAAGGATAGCACAAAGATACATCTAAAGTTGTCCTTCCGCCAAAGGTTATAAAGTTTGGAAGTAGAGGGTTCGAGTACCGATGTAAATCATGGATGTATCGTGGTTGCTGCCCTTCTCTAATTTATGCAATATGTTCTTCAGCTCATAAATGGCTTAAATACCGTTCTTTGCATTGAGCACACAACCCTGCGTGTGCATTTGAACACGCAAATATCAACTAAAGTTACAGCTGGGCTAGAATCAAGCTACTTCCACGCTTCGAAGCCTTTTCAGTTATGCTAGAACATTCGTTCGTTCGTTGTAGTGGAACTGGGCGTCTGAGGCTTTACTGCCCTTTTCCCAAGTAGCCCATTGTGCAGCTCTAGTGCGACGTAAATTAACAACAACAACCTTTTCCCATTCATCCTAAATTTAGACTAAGAAACATACATGACAAAAATGAAGTTCGAGGAGCAAATTGGAGTTCGTGAGAGAGAAAAAAATGGCAGTTTGCCATTATTAGGTAATAACAAAATTAAAATAATAAAAAGTACAAGAAAACGGTAAAATTAAAGTACAATGAGAAAATCAACACTAATGAATATTTACAGTACTTACAGTTTGGGAATGGGCGAGTTAAAGGAATGTGAGGATGTGTGTATATGTGTAAGTAAATGTGGCTCTGTTAAAGTAGAGATCCGGCCGTCCTGGTAATGACCACTCGTGCCGGGTTGCTCTCTACCAGGGTCGGATTAAGCGTACGCGGGGCCCTAGGCCATTAAAATTTTTGGGGCCTTCAGACTAAATTTTTTTTCTCGTACATTTTTTATTTATTCAAATATAAAAGTATTTATATATCTTTTCATTTAAGAAAGCATATTTAAAATAAAAATAAATAATAATAAATTAAATTTTACTTTATTTTATTAAATTAGAACTAAAAAATAATCATAACATTTTGAAAAATAATTGTTTTTTTTTTAATTTTTTTAAATTTATTTTCAAAAAATCCATTTTAAGGGGACCCCTAATCATTGGGGGCCCCAGGCCATGGTCTAGTCTGTCCTAATGGGTAATCCAGCACTGCTCTCTACACTTAAGTTACAGTGATTAGCTTCCCAGCAGATCACCGAAGTCAAGCATCACTGGCTACGGTCAGTGTGCGGGTGGGTGACCACTTGGATCAGTCTGCGTAGGGACCGAGGGTGTGCGGTATGGGTCCTCGTTAAACTGTTCTACCGTAAAGTGCTCGACTTCGCGTGCAGGTCGTCGGGCTGCCGAAGCGGGGGTGCCATCCCCTCCGCAGAGGATCAAAATTGTGATGGCATGTCTTCGGATTATCCTCAGGGATGTTTCCCAGATCGTCGCCAATAGCCCATTGTGCAGCTCTAGTGCGACGTAAATGAACTGCAACAACAGGGCCATATTTTCCAGGCTGTGGCTCCTGCGCGCATTGAGATAGAAATTAGTATATTTAAGTTCAGGCTCTTGAACCATTAAGATTGAGTTCCAGAACTCAAAAAAACTGATAATTCGATAAAAGTTATTCAAAGTGTTCTGGTTTTCTTTCTGCACATCACATACAGGATGTTTCATAATCACAGCATTAAATATTACTTTTCTAAAGCGAAATAAAATTTTAAAAAACTATGCACATTCGTAAATTAGTGTTTAAACAAGGAAAATAAAAGGTTCTTATCTAATCATCTTTTAACAAACTCTTCAACAGTCAAGCAGATTTTGATGCTTTTAATTTCGCCCTTATCAGTAGTGATTCGTCAGGTATTGAGAATGTTTTTCTATTTCTTTCGCTTTAGTATTAATTTGCGACTCCTTCTTTGAACATCTTTTTAACCTATTTGACGAAGATTCTAAAACTATATATTAAAGGTTGTGATTAGGAAGCACCCATTATAAAAATTATAAAACTATACTATTGAATAGTTCTTAAAACTTTTTTTTGGTTAAACTAAACACTCTCGATTTGATACGAAAACAACTAGATTTTTAGTTTATATATATAGACATTGAACACTCAACCTAAATAGAGTATTTCCAGCTCTTAATGTTTAATTTCGCAGTCATGTAATTTTGAATCGAATTCAGAAGACACAACCTTTGTTAAGCAATGAGAAAACTTGCATTCATCTTGTGAGTGAAATCAACCCACATTTGCGCCGTTCAGAGAAGGAAACGAAAAGAAATCTTCCGCGGTTAGACAGAAAATAAATAGCATTAGTAGTACTCTATTTATGTATCACAGCACTTATGTATCATAGCTGCACAATGGCCAATTTTGTTTAATTTCATAACCGGCGTTGAACAGCTGACCCAATTCTAAGTTTACGACAATCAATGTTCAACTCCGCAGCCTCGCAATTTTGAACTCAACTGAGAAGGCAAGGAAATTCCGGGAAGTATTGGGACAAATTGATGAGCCTTGATGGAGTACTTTTGGCTGGAACTAATTCGCATTTGTGTTACATGGAGAGGAAAAGCACGGAAACCTATCACGGTTAACAAGTGGATTTAACCCATGATCCGTCTATCACTGAAGATATTTTACGTCAGCACTGTGGTTGGTGCGAGACAGAGGTAGAATTTGTATCAACCATCAACCGCTGGGATTCAAACCTGGATCACCTCATTAGGAGGCGGACGCTTTATCCTCTATGCCATTACGGCTCGCACAATGGTCTATTGGAGGTGATCTAGGAAACATCCCTGAAGCTGATACGAAGGCATGCCATTATCATTTTAACTCTTTGCAGAGGGGATGGAGCCCCCGCTTTGGTAGGCCAACGATACTGCGCGTGAAGTTGAGCACTTATTGGTAGCCCAATTTAACGAGGACGGCTTCCGCATACCATTGATCCCTTCGTATTCTGACGAAAGTGTCACCCACCCGCTCACTGACCAGTGTCAGAAATGTTTGACTTCGGTGACCTACTTTGGAACCATATCTTACGATGGTTCCTTGTTGGAAATATAAAAATAATAAAGAAAAAACATTTGAATCACAGAGCATCCGAGGCAGAAAATAATTGCATCCACGGTTAAACAAAGATTTTACGGGCTTCAGGACAAAATTTATTGCGGTGCCTCTTTCTCAAAGCACAAAAAGCCTTCTTTTTTAAATATTTTTGTGGAATTTTTAAAGCCTCTTTAGACGTAGTTTTTATATATTGTACAAATTACTTCGGTCCGTTTTTAAGATATGGCTCTGCTGTTATGAATGTTTCAAAGTGACAGCTGGTTTCAGAGAGGTTAAACATCTGTCAATAATATTCAGTTTATATCGCTTTGAGTTTCATACAAAAACCCTGTTTTTTACTTTGTTGAGTATGTCAAGTTTTGTGGTAACGAAGCACCATTTGCGGGATGTTTTATGTTTCGGCTTTAATCAGGGCCTGATTATCGCCTAGGCCCAATAGGCACGGGCCTAGGGCCCACACTTTCTGGGGGGCCTCAAAAATTAGTAAAAAGTCACAATATTACTTTTTTTAAAAAAAAAAATACCGAAAGAAACAGTTTATCTCAAAAAAGGCATTTTTTATTTCAAATTTTCTGTATATCGTGATAAACCAAACTCGTGTAAGCATTGCACTAATCAAATTCGAAAGTACAGCTGAATTTAAATTGGTGCAATTCTTACTCCAACAGCTTGCAATGCAAATGCAACGAGAATGCATATTCGCAAAGTCTCTCATCGTGTCAACAAGAACTAAAAGCTTATTCTTAACAAATATGTAAAGCTGAAGATGGAAGGCTACAATCTTTAAAACAATTCTGCTAATCAGTGACTTTTATCAAATATCACTGATTTCAATTGTTTGTGATCAAACTATTTTTATTTTCATACATTGTTTTGTTATTTTACATTTTGCTTAAATATTTAGATGTCTAATCTTTATCATAGAAAAATAATCTTCAATTGTCTGCTTTCAAAATTTTTTAGAATGTTTCTCTTGAATCATGCAGTTTAGTAGATTCTTTTTATTGTTAGCACTATAAAAAGAATCTAGAAGAGAAGAAGAAATATAAAAGAAATTATTAGGACTATGTTCTTCGGAAATTTGATTTCAAAATATTTTGTTAGATTCCCGGAAAATTTTGTGGATCTTGGGCCTGAACTCGTCTTGATCGGTCCCTGGCTTTAATTGGAAGAAAAGTGCAGCTGAAGCGCATCGAATTCTTGTAGAAGTTTATGGTGACAATGCTCTAACTGATAAATTGTGTAGGGAATGGTTACGACGTTTCCAGAATGCTGAATAAGGAATGGTGAATGAAGAATGGTGAATAGTTTTGTATACTATGAGCTGCTACAACCTGGTGATTCCATTACGGGCGATCGGTATAGGCTACAATNTTTTACGGGCTTCAGGACAAAATTTATTGCGGTGCCTCTTTCTCAAAGCACAAAAAGCCTTCTTTTTTAAATATTTTTGTGGAATTTTTAAAGCCTCTTTAGACGTAGTTTTTATATATTGTACAAATTACTTCGGTCCGTTTTTAAGATATGGCTCTGCTGTTATGAATGTTTCAAAGTGACAGCTGGTTTCAGAGAGGTTAAACATCTGTCAATTATATTCAGTTTATATCGCTTTGAGTTTCATACAAAAACCCTGTTTTTTACTTTGTTGAGTATGTCAAGTTTTGTGGTAACGAAGCACCATTTGCATGAGGTTTTATGTTTCTGCTTTAATTGGAAGAAAAGTGCAGCTGAAGCGCATCGAATTCTTGTAGAAGTTTATAGTGACAATGCTCCAACTGATAAATCATGTAGGGAATGGTTTCGACGTTTCCAGAATGGTGAATAAGGAATGGTGAAAGGTGAATGAAGAATGGTGTATAGTTTTGTATACTATGAGCTGCTACAACCTGGTGATTCCATTACGGGCGATCGGTATAGGCTACAATTGATTCGTTTAAGCCGTGCATTACGACAATGCTCCTTCTGATTACTG